GGGGGAGGGAAGTGGCAAGACCTTTTGGAAGCTGGGAAAATTGGAAGAGTGAACACAGGATTCGTTTGGGGGCCAACCTGTTTAAGTATCCATGCGGAATTCCAACCCTAGTGAATCCAACCTAATCTGGGGACGTAGATCTGTACTAAAAACACCATGGATCCCAAAGATGCATGCAATTTGATGCAGCCATAGCATGGCACTGCTGGTGGGAGAAACGCAACCTGGTTTTTTTTCTTGCTTTTTTTTCCCCTCTGCTGCTGTGTTTGCCATTTTGCAGGTCTTCCACCTGCCTTTAGCACTGAGGCTATAACATGAATCTGACTGCCACTGCAACCACACCTATGTCAATTTTAAATATAATAAATACAGTGAAGAAAATAATAAGTCTTCAATAAAGAGTCTGAAGAAAACACAGCCAATACTCTGGGGGTTTTCAATCAAATGCCATATGGTCTCTGGATGAATTTCTCGAGGAGATTGTAGCTGAGTCCACATCTGTAAGTTCCCGTCTCGAGTGTAGCTCTCTTTAAATAGAAACTTCATACTCTCTGGTTTCCTGCGCGAGAGAGAAGCACAGGTTGGTTAAAGCCTGGCGGGGTAGAGTGACACATGAAGGGTCTAGCTCCACACCCTTCCCTGTGTCCATGACATTGGCCGTGTGACTTTGCAGTGCCTTCCGCTCTGACCCTGATTTCATTTGGCCAACGGATTATAAGGAAATGGGTCACAAGAGGGGCTTGAAAAGTGCTGTGTCTTTCTGCCTGTGTCTTGCCCTGCTGCCATCACCATGAACCAAGTGTGCCTTGACAGCGTTTAATCCCAGCGGAAAGATGAGGGACATGGAGAACAGAGCGGAGTCCCCTAGACACAACTAGCCAATTCCAGCTGTGTGAGTGAGCACAGCCCAATCAGGGCTACCACTCCGCTGAAACGACCTGAAAACATGGCCCTAGTGATTGACGAGCAAATCCGTGTGTTGCTTTGAGCGACTGAGTTTGGGAATTGTTTGTTACGCAGCATGATTATAGAGCTAGGCAACTGATATGCTGTACTGATAGGATGATTAACAAGGTCTAGTTTGTAAAGTGCTGTTCCTTATCAACTTGACTTTCTTGCAGGAAACAAGCTACACAGAATGCAAAATAACATATGGGCTCTTACCAGTGTCATATCTAAAATGACTACAATATGTGGGTAGCAACCAGTTCAGTTCCTCTAATATTCATGGAGTATGTGTACTATATTCCAAGCCCCTGGATTAGAGGAGCAGGGAGATATAAGAAGTCATCGGCTTGGCCCTGGAAGAGGTCACTGTCATATGCTTTAATGCAGGTCTATAGTTCCTGCTGAGTCAGCAACAGACATGCAATCGGGTCTATACTTGGTGGCATATGGGACTGTGGTGGGCAGATGCTAAGATGGTCCCCAAGATCTCCGCCTCCTGGTGTTCACGCCCTTGTGTGATCCCCTCCCCTTACGTGTGGGCAGGACCTGTGATTTGTTTCTAACCAACAGAATACAGCACAAAAGTCTTAGGATGTCACTTCTGTGTTTTATATTACATAAGATTGTGAGTTTCACCTTGCAAGGAGACTCTCCCTCTTTCTTTCTGCCATGATGTGAGCTGCTTTATGGAGAAGGCCACACGGAAAGGAACTGAGGGTGGGCTTTAGATAGCAGCCTGCAAGAAACTGCAGCCCTGAATGGTGTTAACAACCATGTAAACTTGAAAGTGGATCCTTCCCCAGTTGAGCCTCAGATGGGACCGCAGCCCTGACTGACTCCTTGGTTGTGGCTTGTGAGCCCTGAAGCAGAGGACCCAATTAAACTGTGCCAGGACTCCTGATCTATAGAATCTATGAGATAATAAATGTGTTGTTTTAGGCTCATAAATCTGCAATCATATTGTTATACATCAATCAATAACTAATACAGGAGGTCAGAGGAAAGGGGGTGAGGAAAAGTCAGCAGGAACAAGAAGCAAATCAAGTTTATGCCCCTCCTGCAAACATTGGGAGATAATTATGCATCATTCCACAGTGAATTTGGAGGGTTGTGGTTTTGTAAAGTCATGACCAACCTGGTTCCTCACGCATGCCTCTGGGCCTTTGCATATGCTCTCCCTTCTCCCTGGCACCTTTGTAAACCACCATCTAAGTTTCACTCACTTTACATGTCTCAGTTTTACATTGCTTTCTCAAAGATGCCTTCCCCCACCACTTCTAAGTGTCCCCCATAGTACAATTATTTTTTTTAAACTGAGCCATTCTGCCACCTGTTGGCAGCTCAGTGGCTGCTCAGCTCGGGGCCGGGAATTGAACCGCTGTTGCTCAGAGCTCAAACTCTTGAGAGAGCTCTCGTACATTTTTATAGCACCCTAATTTTTTTTCATGGTTCTTAAACATTGTGATTTGTTGCAGTGTTGACGAGGATGTGGAGAAAAGGGAACCTTTGTGCCTGTTGGTGGTATTGCACATTGGTGCAGACACTATATAAAATGGTTTGGAGGTTCCTTAAAAAATTAAAAATAGAGCTGCCATAGGACCCAGAAATGCCACTTCTGGGTATTTATCCAAAGAAAACAAAAGCACTAATTCCAAAAGATACATGCACTCCTATGTTCATTGCAGCACTATTTACAATAGCCAAGATATGGAAGCAACCCAAGTGCCCGTCAATAGATTGGATAAAGAAGTCATAGCACACATATGCAATGGGATATTACTCAGCCATAAAAAAAAGAAATATTACCACTTGCAACCACAGGAATAGACCTAGAGGGTATTGCGCTAAGTGAAGTAAGCCAGACCGAGAAAGAAAAATACCATATGATTTCACTTACATGTGGAATATAAAGAACAAAATAAATGAACAAACAAAACAGAAACAGACTCATAGATATAGAGAACAAACTGATGGTTAAGGGATTAAGAAGTACAAATTGGTAGTTACAAAATAGTCACAGGGATGCAAAGTACAGCATAGAGAATATAGTCAATAATGTCATAATAACTATGTACAGTGCCAGGTGGGTACTAGACTAATCAGGGGAAAATGACTGCATAAATTATATAAATGTCTAACCACTATGCTGTGCATTTGAAACTAATATAAAATAATACTGAATGTCAACATAACTAAAAAATAGTTTTTTTTAAATTATGATTTGTGCAATCAAGATATTCATTGGCATATTTGATTGTCTGAAGTTGAAGGGGAGGCAGAATAGCATCACGATTAATGGCGTCAGATAGAGTTTGCATCCTGGCTCCAGGCTGGGCCTTCTGGTTGTGTGCAACCTTGGTTAAATAATTTTTTTCCTTTCTCTGAACTTCAATACCCTCATCCATCAATCAGAGATACTGCAGAATCTATCACAAAGGGTTGCAAGGGTTCAAGGAGATCATGTATTTAAGATGCCCAGTTCATGGCACATATTATTATCATTATTGATATTATTGTCTCCTTTTCAAGACTGTAAGCTCATTAATGGCAGGACCACGTCTATTTGGTCCATGACTGTGTTCCGAGTACCCAGCACAAGGCCTGCCACTCAAACATGTAGGAATGTGGCACACGGCCATTCAATGAGGAGTGGAGCTCAGTCAGGTGTGTGGGTGGGAATGCTGCCCATTGTCACAGGCCACCAGTGGGCTCTGACCCAGCTCAGCCATCTCTTCATGTGCTTTGGCGCAGCCCTTTCTTTCTGTGATCCTTCCGCCGAGAGTAAACAACACTACAGGCTTGTCATCGGCTTGCACAGAGAGCTGGGTTCTCCACGCATTTATCTCAATAGGGGTCAGAGTCGGGCTAAGACAGGACCCCCGGCCACGTCTTTCTGCCAGTGGCCTCGTGAGCAAAAGGAAATTACACCTTCAGTTTTGCTGTCAGTGAATTCAGAGCAGGCAAAGAGGGAGGCGCTGGGAGAGAGAAGAGAGACCAACTCACCCCTGTCTCATAAATGGGGTTGTCAAATTCAGTTTCCACGGTGATCTGGCTGTAGGGATGGGAGTACATCAGGGGCAGGCGCAGGTTGGAGTAATAGCGACATCTGGAGAAGAGATAATAAAGGAGAGAGGTTATTTCACCCGGATCGCGAGACACCGTACAATACCTAAGGGGAACGGTTAGTGCCACTTTCTGAGCACCAGCGCCCCACAAATGACAAGGAGGATGTGTGGAAACAGCCTCTTGAAGGTGAGAATGTGAGGGAGGTGAAAGCTGAAATCATAATGGCTCTCAACTTCTAACCCAGTCAGTGATAAGGAAAGCCTAGGTACTGCCCCTGATTGGGGACGGGGTGGAGCTTAATTTGTTTTCACCTGAAAAGTGATTCAAGTCCTTCTTTAATGCAAAGAGCAAGAACAACCATAATGGGCACGGATTGAGCACCTACTTATACTGTGTGGCCTTTGAGCAGCCTTCCCTGAACCTGTTTAAAGGTGGTTCTTCTGTTACCACGCTCTATCTCTTTCTTTCATTGTGTTAATCACAGTGTGTTATAATTTGTGTATTTCTCCTCTCCTCCTACAGGAACAATTTGTATTAGGCAAATGCCTGCCTCAGGGCCTTTGCACATGCACATGCACATTCTCTGCCTAGATTCCTCCTATCCCAGATATTTGCATAGTTTATCTTTGCATTGTTCTCACATCCTTACTCAAATGTCATTCCTCAGTAGGGCCTCCTCTACCTACCCCATTTAAGGTAGAATCACCTCCCCTACCCCAAGTCCCTTTTTCATCCTTCCTGGCTTTCTTTTCTTCCTCTATTTATCACTTTCTAATGTACTACATTACTTTTCTCATGTAGTAGTTCCTATTTGCCTCCATTAGAATCTGGGTCCCATGAGGGCAAAGATTTCCTTTGTTTTTTTTTTTTATGCTATAATGATGCTCCTAGAGCCCAGAAAGCTGCCTGACACACAGTAGGTACTCAGCAATTGTGAATATGAATGAATGATTATCATAGGCACTGTTTAGTATCATCTTTCTTCATCAAAGGCAAGTTCTATGATCCCAACACCTGGGACAATGTCTAGTACACACTAGATTGTCAACACATACTTGTTGAATAAGTGAATGAATAAGTTAGTGCATGATGGAATAAATGAGTTGATGTGCCTCGCCTTGTGAGGTGTCTGTCTCTCCCTCTAACCCACAGCTCCTTGAGGTCAGGGATAGCATCTGTCTTATTTGCGCCTGCATGCTGAGCCCTCCTACCATGGAGGGTTGGTAGGTGTCCAATAAAAATATTTATCCCAGGGCCCGGCCAAGTGGCTTAGTTGGTTAAGAGCACGAGCTCTGAGCAACAGGTTGCCAGTTCAATTCCCACATGGGCCGGTGAGCTGCTCCTGAGCTGAGCTGCCGCTGAGCTGCCAACAGGTGGCAGGATGGCTCAGCTGGTGAGAGCACATGCTCCTAACAACAAGGTTGCCAGGTGCACTCCCGCATGGGATGTTGGGCTACGCCCACCTGCAACTAAGGTTGGCACCTTGAGCTGAGCTGCCCAGAGCTGCCGACAGGTGGTCGGATGGCGACTGGACTTGGAGCTGAGCTAGCTGCGCCCTCCACAACTAAGATTGAAGGACAAAACTTGGCTTTTCCCCCTCCCCAATTCCCCAACACTGTTCTCCTCCCCCAATTCCCCAATAAAATCTTTAAAGAAAAAATAAATTTATCCCAGAGCTGAGTTGAATCTCACCATCCCTACAATTACACACATGCCACTGTCCCCATGTTCCAGGTGGCGACCCTGAGGTTCAGAGAGGTGAAATGTCCAGTCCCCAGTGTGCAGGCGGTTGAGTGGATGGCAGCCCCCCAAACTGCCCCAAAGCCCCCTACCTGGTGATGTAAATGTAGGCTCCTCCCAGCAGTAAGGAGATGATGAGGACAGGGATGAAGATAGCCAGCGCCATGTTTCCCCCTTCCAGCGATGTCTCTGCTGCCGCTTCTGCTACTAAACACACAAGCCAATGAGGCCCTCATGTCACACATTCAACCTACATGGCTCCCAGGTGAGCACCTGCCCCCCTATTCCTGGACCCACTCAAAGAACTGAGGTCACAGAGCCTTAGCCATTGGAGAACTATCTCCAAGTGGAGATTAGGCGAGATGGTGCTGGTTCTTTGCAAGGGAGTCCAGACAGATCCTTGGGTGGGGTGGTGATAGGGACTACTGAGAATTCTACTCTTTTAATCCTGATAATACCATGCCCATTTTGTGTGTGTGTGTGTGGGGGTACAGTTGAAAATCTGGTTAACATCCAATTCAAGGGAAGACTTGGAGAAAATCCCGTTTGCTAACTGGGAAGGCAGGTTCGGTTGACATGCCACGGGGTGGAGGGGAAGGACCTTGTCACACCCAAAACTGGCAGGTCCCTCCCAGAGCTGCTCGATCGGACCCTCCAGGAGAGGGGGTGGGGCTGCAGAGGAAGTGCTCAGTACTGCACACCCTGATGACACCCCAACTGTGAAGACCCAGTTTTGATTCTCAGAGGCCACGGCTGCACATCCTCGTGGCCTCACCTGGAGCCCCCTGCTATCATCCATTGCGGTGGAAATCAGAAGAACTATGATACCTGTAGTGGGGATGGGGTCAGGGGTGTTTTCCCAGTACGGCTTGAAAAGGACCTCACATCTTTTCTAGACACTTGGCCTCTAGGTTTCCTCTGCCATTCTCCATGGCCGTGTCGAATACAGCTCAGCTGTATGCCAATCTATAATCCATTAACGGCCACTCTACAGGGTCCGCGAAAGTGACCCTAACACCCGTGATAAATACATAAGCACAAAACATTATGATGGCTATGATCTCGGAGCAACCCCAGGCCTCTGAGACATTCTCATGGTTCATTGGTTGGGGAAAGGCAGAAAAGGGATGGCTTTTTGGAGAGAGTGAGACCACGAAGTGCCTCTCTTTCCCCAGTGCAGTGACTAACATGTGCTCCTCCCCTACACTTACATATGAGCCCTGGCTCTGCCTGCTTGGATTAAAAGTCACCTGTTACAAGGAAGAGCCACTGATGCCATGTAATTCCCATAGCCCCAGATTCTGAGGGAACGGCTTATTGTCAGAAAGCTAAATGGCTCCAAAAATAATAATAAAAGCTGCTTAATTGGTACAAACTTAAAAAAAAACCTATATATATTTTTTTCCTGATGTTATAGCCTGGGGGAGTAGTTTTGTACCAAACTGGATGGAGCTTATACAGAGCACAGACTGTGAGGGGTTGGAAAAGACAGGAACCACAAAATAAAAACCAGACCAAACTCCTGGGTAGCCTTTACATCGGTTCCATATTAACAAATCCCACTTGGTAATTCCCAATAAAAGAACAGAGAACGAGGGGGATAGAGGGACACATATGTTGGGGAAGAGAAAGACAGAGGGGAAAATAGACCACAGAACATCCCCCAGGCACACCTTTCCCTTCCCAAACCAGGGCGATGCTCGGCCTGGAAGGTGAGACGTCACTAGATTTCATTGCCCAAAATAACACCACGTGGCTGAAAAGTTTTCTAAAAGGGTCATGTCGTTGTCAGGCATATGGACTTAGATTTTCTGACTTCATGAACAGACCTGGTGTCCAATCCCTTTTAGGTCATCCTCAGGACCATAAGTTGCAAATTCAATTCTTTTTCCTTTATAATATCATTTGTTTTGAAACTATCCTCAGCTGAGTGAAGGCAGCTTTTTTTCTGCGATTAGCTTGATTTATTGGATTTTTTTCACGATAGCACTCACCTTCTAAAGCATGTTCAAAGCTGTCTTGATTAACTGAAAGAGAAATTGAAGGCATTGGTCAATGTCAACTGAATTCATTGCGCATGAAATGAAGCCAAAGAGAACAGGCGCAGAAGCCTGCGCCACGCTTTGCTGATGTTAGTGCTATGTTTTATTTATCTTGGGTCATGGGAATTAGTGGAAACGCCTGCACACTTTTCCTTCCTATGTTCCTGAGAGAAGATGAGATAGATAGGAAAGAAACAAGTCATAGCAAGTAATAACTGAACACTCAGCCATGCATCACGTAGTGTGCCAAGTGCGTTATATACAAGGATATTTGCTCATTGAACCCTCACAACAATCTTGTTAGGTAGATACTTTATCAACCCCATTTTACAGAAGAGCAAACAGAGGATGAGAGAAGGGACTTCTCTGACATCTCACTGCTTCTAAGTGATGGAGGCAGGATTTAAAGCCATACTGCTTGACTTTCTCTAGCCTCTGCTCTTAACTATGGCAGGTTTTGGTATTTACAGTGTTTTCATGTAGAAAAAAGGCTGATGAATGGTGAGGGTCAAAACCAAACCCCAAATCCCAAATTACCCCAGAGGTGAAATAATTTTCCTGCTTTGAAATACATATGTATGTGAACCTTTCTAATTTCACATTGATTCCATATTTATTTGACTGGGATTTATAGTCCCTGTAGAACCATTTTCATTCATTCATTGCCACAGATGAACTCTCTGGAATTTATTCATTTCTCTGTATTCCCTGTAAAACTTCTCTGGAAGTTCAAGATGATGGCGGCTGGCATCTCTAAGCTTTGGCATCAAAGTTATCATGGTAGCTGAGCACAAACATATAGCCACATGGGCGGGTTTCAAGGATGCAAAACCCTAGCGTAAAGGCTTAGGCAAAAAGATTGCATTATAAGGGAGTGGAAGGTGGGGGGGGGGTCCCACTAACAGCCAAGCAATATTCATGTCCTACCTAATACCAAGACTTCATAATTAGTGCCTTGCTCAAAACTACTCTCCGACTTTCATTACAATGTGATGAAAACAAAACCAGTTTTTGTTTTTCATCAAAAGAAAACCAGCCAGAAAGCTAGCCAACCAACCAACCAACCAACTAACCAACCAATCAGCCAGCCAACCAGCCAAGCAACCAACCAGCCAGCCAACCAACCAACTAACTGCTGTTAACCTAAAAACCCTTCACAATCTTAGATAAAGGCATTTGACCTCAACCAAAAAAGCAAGGAGGTTTGATCCTAGGAGGGCTTCGCAGTCAGCATCCATGGAAGCCGTGAGCACAAAAAAGACTCTGTAGGTAGCACGCCTGGTTCCAGGGGACCCCAGTCCGTGAAGTTGAGGTCACTTTAGATCCTGTTAGACTATGCCAGATATGTGAATAATTTTAAAGACATGTCTGTTTTATTTAATTAAACCAAACTTAAATCAGTTTTCATATTAACTCATTTCCCAGGTCATGTGATGCTGAAAATCATTTGGGCTAGATTCTGTTGTATTTCTTAATTTATATAAGAGTTTAATTTCTTTACATCTCATAACCTTTGGGAACCAAGTGGTTACGAGAAGCAGGTGCAAGAGGCAGGAAATGTTTAAGCCACATTGTGGAAGCAGGAGTTAAAAACAGGATGGCTCTCCTTTATGATAAAAACCTGAGCTTGAAAGAGCCCTGATAATAAGTGAAAATGAAAATGCGAAGCAAGGAGAAGGCACTGTGTCATAGTTTAATTGGCAGCCATTGTTTTCTTTCTCAGTGGTGCAGAAAATAACGATGGTATCTTAGCTTTAATGAAATACAGTAGCTCGGCTTTTTTAGAGTAGATTCAGAATTCCTCCAAGCCAAGTCCTGACATCTCTGGGTCCCTCAGTCCCCCATGTCGCCAGTTGGTTTCTTTACCTTTACAAACAGGTAGGGGCCCGTTCCAGTGTGACGGCTGTCCCAGGATGCATCGGATGGTCACTTCGCCCATCAGTTCGAAGCCCTCGTAACACATGAAGGTGAGGGACTCCCCTGGCAGGTAGAGTCGCTTGTATAGGATTTGGTACCCATTTTCAGGTAGCCCGGGGTTGTCACAGGCCAGAGACTCTTCCGCTGAAATGCAAGCCGAAAGGAGCTCTGATGAGATGATGCAGATCTTTGGGGACTCCTACCCAGAAGCTTTGGCCAGTCTCTCCATCATCCTTTCTCTACATTCCCACCTCGCACTGAGCTGTTTCCATTCCTCAAACTCACCTTTCTCTCTCCTACCTCTGGGCATGGCTTATTCATGGGCATGGTAGAATGTACTGGGCTGTAGAATCTGGGTTAAATTCTTGGTTCTAGGAGTCTGAGGGGGCAGGGTGAAAAAGGTGAAGGCATTAAGAAGCACAAATTGGTAGTTACAAAATAGTCATGGGGATGTAAAGTAAGGTATAGGGAATATAGTCAATAATAAGGTGATATGAGTATAGTGCCAGGTGGGTCCTAGGCTAGTCAGGGGGATCACTTCTTTTTTTTTTTTAATATTTTTTATTAGTTCCAGGTGAAAGGAATCACTTTTTTAAAAAAAGATTTTTATTGGGGAATTGGGGGGTTAGGAACAGTGTTGGGGAATTGGGGGAAGGGGAACAGACAAGTTGCTGTCGTTTTTTGTTCTTCAGTCTAGTTGTGGAGGACGTTGCTTCACTGGCCCAAGTTGGCACCATCACTGCGCTCTTCCCGGGCGAGGCAGATCAGTCGCCGGCTTCTGGACGGCCGCTCACTGCGGCTGCTGGCAGCTCACGCTGGCTGCTGGCTACACATGGTAGCCCATGGCAACCCACTGCAGCAGGGGCTGCAGCCTACGCCGGTGACTCATGGCAGCCCAGCTCCAGGTTGAGCTGTTGTTCAGCATCTTAGCTGTGGAGGGCAGTGTCACTGGCCCTCATATGTGGGATCCGAACCGGGGCCCTGTGGCATCCCAAGCCAGTTCTTAACCATCGCGCCACTCGGCCGGCCCAAAAGGAATCACTTCTTAAAGGATACAAATGTCTAACCACTATGCTGTAGACCTGAAATTAACATAAAATCATATTGAATATCAACTGTAATTGAAAAATTAAAAAGGGGGGAAAAGATGAAAGGGAATAAAAGTTCCAAATTTTCGGGTATAAAATAAGTCATGGAGATGTAACGTACAGCATGGGGAATATAGTTAATAATATTGCGATAGTGTGGCAGGGGGTCAGATGGTTGCTGGACTTATCATCGTGATCACTTCTTTAGGTATATAAATGTTGAATAACTATTGTGTACTCCCGAAACTAATATAATATTGTATGTTAGCTATATTTTAAAAAAAAATCTTTAAAAAAAACCTTGATTCTGCTCCTTACTAGCTGTGTGACCTCCAGCAAAGGCCACAACCTCTCTGAGCCTCAGCTTCCTTATCAGTAAAATGGGAATAACAGTAGTACCTATCTCATAGCAACTTGGAAGATTAAATAAGGTAATGAATGCATGCTCTTGGCATGTCCCAGGTACTCAGTAAAGGATATGGATGGTGGTGTTAAATTATGAAACATTCCTTCTGCTTCTCACCTTACCCTTCACCTGCCCACCCAGCCTGGACAAGATAACCTTGTCTTTCAATACTCAAGTTTTCATTTCTCCACCTCCAGGGAGCCTTCCTTGATCTCCCCTACCCCTAATGGAGTCACGAATCTTTCTAGCTCTTCCTCCACGCCAGCACTGCATATACTGTGTTGTATTCAATCATTTAATATCAGTTTTCCTCACGGGATGAGTGAGCTCATTAAGGCGTGTTTGAAGTTCAGGGCTTGGCATACGGAAGGAGCATCATAAGTAACTCCTGTGGGTGAAATACTCCCTCGTCTGCAAAATAGGCCATCTTGCAGGGTTTCGATGAGGATTAAATGAGCTCCCTCATGCGTGAGAGGTGAGTAGCATAGAGTGAGCGCCCAACAAACACTGGTTATTTTTACAGCCTTCACATTTGTTGTCTATTTTCATACCAACCGTGCTATTGTTTACTTAATACTTTTATTTCTATCACTTGCTTTTCCACTTAAATAGGGCCATACAATTTTGCCTCACCCTAAATAATATTCCAATGATCATGGTTTTCAAACGTCTGTTTAAATTTTCTTAACAAAACACCAAAAAGTTAACCTGGGCATGATCTAACACCACATTAGTACCACCCATGGGGTAATATAACCCTCCTTGGGAAAGGCAGCCCCATGCACTGCACTTTACAGTTTAGGAGCTCCCAGGGTCTAGAGAGTTCACGCTTTTCGTTTTCTCCAGCAGAAATTCCTCTGCCCCTATGTGCCAGGTTTGTGCGAGGAGCTGGGTATAGAGTGGTGAACTAGAGAAGCACGGTTTCTATTTTCCCAGAACTTAGTCGAGTGTGTGAGAGAGAGAACGCAGTCAGGTGATTGCAACCCAGGGCGATAACAGCCCGGGTCACGGGTGTGAAGGTCAGGGAAGGCTTCCAGAGGAAACCTGGAAATTCAGTGCTCTGCCGGGACAGAGCAAGGACTCAGGCCTGGCGAGGTGTGAGGGGTGGGATGCTGGTCGATTCCCTGCTGCTTTCCTCCGTCCTGGGTGGAGGGGAAGGAAGGGATTCTTTTAAGGCAAATCCCATGTATTACCTGCAATGTAGTAAAGTGGCCAGCAGGTGGCAGTGGTCACCCAGGAGAATGTCTCCACAACCTTTCCCCGAATTTCGTTTCATAGGTGAACAGATTAGTGAGTCCAACAAATATTTATTGAGCACCTTCTATGTGCCAGGCACTGTTCTTGGCCCCGGTCATACAATGATGAACAAGACAGATATGGCCCCTGCCTTCATGTAACGTAACATTCATATAAGCCACAAATAGTTTCTGGATCCGCCCCCGTGCTAGGTGCTGTCCTGGCCCTGGGGTGACAGACTATGACAAAGGATAAGTTCTTAGGCCTGGATGTAAATTAAATAGGACGTTGCCAGAAGGTTTGACGATGAGGGGAGGCACCCCCAGCCGTCAACTAGCTGCACTAAAATCCCCCTAGATTATTCAGTGCCCTGGCCCCACCCCTAAGGCATTTGATTTAATTAGTCCCCCAGAGTATTCTTTTTAAAGTTCCCCAGGTGATTCTAGACTTCAGCCAGAGTTTTAGAGGTGAAAGGTTTAGGGCTCAGAACCACAATAAATGAATCATTTAATTAATTTCCAAAATATTCAAACACCCAGTGTGTACCAGGTGATTTGCAGATATTCTTTTCAATTCTTCCCCAAATCCTTAAAGGTAATAACAGTAATGACCAGAATAGCTAACATTTACTGACAGCGTCTTATGCATCAGGGACTATTTGGGGTTTTATATCTAGGAACTCATTTAATTATCATAACAACCCCCAGGCACAGATATCTATCCTCACCATCTCCATTTATATCTGAGCAAATAAAGCACAGAACTGTTGGGTGTCCTGTTAAGCCAATTAGCAGGGGAGAGAGGCGTCAAAAGCACATGGCCCAAGCTCGCTGTTGATCAATGCACCATAGAGCCACTTTACAGATGAGAAAACGGAGGCTGGGGGGGGTCACTTGTGAGAGATCCCACAAGAAGGAGATGGCTGAGCTGTGATTCGAGTCCAGGGTCTCTGTAAAGTCAGTCTGATTCAGTTTCGATCCGGCCATTGGTAAAATTCTGAGAAGAATTCCACATGGAATACTTCTCTGGCAGAAACCAGTTTTCTCCTGAGAGCATTTGTATTTATCTTCATCTCCCAGAAGATGGCTAGAGAGTGACAAACAAAGTGACTTGAATTTGACATGGGAGGCTTGACTCTGCGTGTGAACTTGGGTGCATCACTTTACATCTCGGAACTTCCTTTTTCCTGCCTGTTAAGTGAACAGACTGGACCAAGGACCCCATCCTTAGCTTAGACGTGGCTGGGCAATGACGTTCACACTCCAAGGATGTACCCACACTTTGAAATGAGATTGTCTAAGGCAGGTTTTCTCAACCCAGATTCTATTGACATTTGGGGTTGGGTAATTCCTTGTGGTGGTGGTGGGAGGCTGTCCTGGGCCTTATAGGATGTTTAGCAGCATCTTTGGCCTCTACTCACTAGATGCCAGTAGCACCCGTTGTCCTTTCTTTGGACAACCAACAATGTCTCTAGAAATTGCCATTGACAGATGTCTCCTGGGCAGCAAAACCATCCTTAGATCCACTGGTCTAAGGTTTAAACAATTCTGTTGCAATCTGTGTGACTTCATCCCATTCTCTCCCAGGAATTCAAGTGAGTTAGACTGATGGTCTTATACACGTGATCACAAACCTAACCCCATTTCTATTGTTTTTCATTCTTCCCCCTCTTTAACTATAAGAAAAAAAAAAGCACATTTTAGGAGCACATTAGAGCAAACGCTAAAAAATGAGGTTTGTTAGTTATTGTTATGAATGGTTTATAATATACCTCAAGCAGTCGTGGAACAGTGAAACTGAGTGGTGAGTAGTCAAACTGTGTTTGCTGAGCATTTATTAGATGCCAGACACAGTATTATGAACTTTTATATTTATGGTTGGCATGACCATTTTTAAAAATTATTTTTAACAAGCACACTGGCTTATTCAAAGTCACACAGCTGGCACATGGCAGAGTTGGATGCAAACCCAGACATGCTGGATTTTGAATCATGTGCATTTAATAATTCTGCTGTAATGAAGGGCCCCTTTTTGTGCTCAAATACCTTGAGCTATCATGGATTTCCTCTGAGCGACTGCTTTCTCAGAGATAGGAATTTCTAAACGAACATGGGCACCCAGCTAGTGCCTGGCATGCTGGCCCAGATGAGGACACCTGGGACAGTTCATCCATGGGAGCTTTTACTAAGGTCACAGTCCGGCCATGTGGGCTCTCCCTAGGCCAGGAAATTGTCAGGTCTCACATTTGTGGTGTTCTGGGGGCAGGGTTGGGAAGGGCTAGAGCCTCGTGGGGAATCTTTATGTGCCTCCCTAGAGAGCCCCCCATTAAACCCTCACTGAATGTCTCAGATCCTCATTATTCTAGGTAACGTGGTTTATATCTTCTGGATGGGAGCCTGAGGAGTCATCCACCATGCCACCATCAAAGGAGGAAAGTTACAAAGAAGCCGCGGGGTGTAATAAAGCCCCCATTGGTATCGCTAACAATAACAACGGCAGTAATCGTAACAAATACTGTCATTTGTTGAGACTGCAGGGCCCGAGGGATACAAGAACCAATTGGGTATACCCTCCTAGCAAGTGAGTTATTTGAGTCTCTGAACATATAAAGAGATCATTTCAATAAACTACAGCAAGTGCTGTGATCGCTGTAACTGTAAGTGCCATGGGAGCTCAGAGGAGAGAAACGTGGCTGGGCAATCCGGGAGGCTTCCTGGAGGTGGTGACGCTGGTGATCCATTGTTATTTCCTTCATAGACTTATCATTTCTCCCCTCGTCTCCCACAGATCCCAGGCTCTATGAGAACGTGGATCATGTCTGTTTACACATTGCTGTATGTTCAGGACCTAGCATCATGGTTCCCAAATAGGGCACCAATGTGCCCTGGGGTGCCACCATGAACTCACAGCTGTACTGTGAGATTAAAAAAATTTTTGAAGACACAAGGGGCTGGCTGGGTGGCTCAGTTGGTTACAGTGCATGCTCTTAACAACAAGGTTGCCAGTTTGATTCCCACATGGGCAGGTAGGCTGCACCCCCTGCAACTAGATTGAAAATGGTGACTGGACTTAGAGCTGAGCTGCACCCTCTAAGATTGAAGGAAAACAACTTGACTTGGAGCTGATGGTCCTGGAAAAACACAATGTTCCCTTCCTCAATTCCCCAACACTGTTCCCTTCCACAATTCCCCAATAAAATCTTTAAAAAAATTTTTTTTTTGAGGACACAGAGTGACATCTCTTAGACCCGTAGGAACTAGCTCCAGTAAGTTCACAGTTTAAACATGTGATAGAGCTACCTTCCTTTTAACGATGCCCTATCTTTGCCAAGCGGGTGTTCCATGGTTGCTGTGTTGAAAGGAAAGAATTGTAACTAATCAACGTGGACTAGGACATGCGGTGGCAGAGTCCAGCCTGATGCTAATGTTTGAGAAGTTTGGCGCAGCCTCACAGGCACCTCTGTAATAGTAACTGTAGTTATTTAAGACTGGAATAAAAATGTAATATTTTCTTTGAAGTTATGTGCATGACTTTCACAAATGCTACTAAGTTATCCAGCTATAGCTACTTATTAAGTTGTTTAGACCTAGTTGCTTAATAAATGGAATTGTTAGGTATTTTTGGCTGGAATGTATATGAAAAAATTCCTGAGACACCAAGGGCACTGTGACATGAGAGAGTTTGGGAATCTCTGTCCTGACATGTGCCTGCATATAGGAGGTGCTTATTGAATGACCAAACGACTTGCTTCCAATGACCTTGCATGGGAGGGAGTATTATTTTCTTTTCAGCCCTCAAATGAGAACTCTGAGGCCCAGAGAGGGTAAGCTACTTGCCCAAGGTCACCCAGCAGAGCTGGAGGGACTGTGTATCCCAGACTCTTTCCTTTACTGATGCCTGACCTGTCTGTTCTTGAAGTGGCTTGGGGTAAATGGACTAGGGGAGAAAAGACATGGCTTTGAGTCTCAGCTGGACCAAACTACCACCGTGGGCAAACGACCCTGAACAGAAGCTATAGACAGAGCTTATACAATTTGCTTTGTCTGCTTTGTGAGCTCATGGGTGGAAGGGCTTTGCTTAGAAACTGGGACTGCAGAGCGATGAGGTGGGAAGGTGATGCTTTTGGGGTTCATCAGGCTTGAATTGGAATCCTAGGCTCTCCCCACCCTCTCTGGGCCTCCTTTACCTGCTTTAAGTGGACACACATACCGTTCATGCAGTTTTGTGAGGGTAAAACGTGTTAATGTTGGGGAAGGGCACGGCTCAGCGAAGGTGCCCATCAAATCAGGGCTGGTTTTTTTGTTCAGTAGAGGAAACGTTTTAAAGCTGTTTTATGTCTACTAACTTTGTCCTTAAAAATACCCTCAGAACCCAGGCTATCACCTCTCTCTCACTGGGGGGACATTGCTGCAAGGATGTGACTATTCTCTTACCGCACGTGTCATCTCCCGTCAGCCTCTGGAACCACATGTTGGCTTCTCCCTCAGGTTTCTGGGAGGATCATGAGTCTTCAGACACCCAGCTTGGCTTGTGAACTCATTAGCATGGGTGTCAGGGAAGCTGTCTGCAGTGAGTCCTGCAGATCCTGACGCTGAGATTTCAGGGAAAGGCGGCTCTGAAGGGAGGGAGGCGTGCTTCTCGGAAAGCTAGCCGCCAGGGCAGCCTGGGGAGTCTTTGGAGGCTGTGCCTCATTAGTGAAGTGCCTTTCCTTTCTTTTAAAAAAAAATGATATCTCTGCCTTTCAGTATTTTACATCAGCTTTTATTTTTCGTTTTTCATGTCTGGGTCTCTGCAGTCTGAAAAAAAATTACTCAAGCGGCTTCTCATCACCCTGACTGGTCACTAAGGAGGAAAAGAGAAGTATAATTTGTTTCCTAGGTGGCCATGAGGAAGGGCCCCAGACTAGAGGGCTTACCACAGTGGAAATTTCCGGTCTCACAGACTTCTGGAGGCTGGAAGTCTGAGATCAAGGTGGCAGCAGGGCCTGGCTTCCTCTGAAACCTGTAGGGGAGGTTTTGCCTCTCCCCAGCTTCCTGTAATAGCTGGGAGATCTTTTTTTTTTTTTTTTAAAGATTTTTATTGGGGAATTGGGGGATGGGAACAGTGCTGGGGAATTGGGGGAAGGGGAACAGACAAGTTGCTG